AGCATACTCCTAAATGGGAAACTCCATTATATTTTCGAAGATATGAAGACCAAAATGGTGTGGCCCTCTGTGAAGTCTCAGTCTTCTTTCGAAAACAAGATAAAACAACTTCCATTATCTTTTCCTAAACCGGCCTAAACGACCTAATTCCAGGATAGTCATTTAACTGATAGTTAAATCAAGCCGTGTGGGTAGCCCGGTCAATGTACGCTGCCAGAGCCAGAACCTTAGAAAGAGCGAGGAGATGGAGGTAGGACGACCGAAGTGGTAGGGAGAATGAGCGATGCTACTGGAGACGAAAGATGTAGAAACTGAGCAAGGAGGTGGTATGAAGGGAATTTCTTTATGTCAATTTATCTGGTTGCCTCGGTAGCGCTTCCCAACGCTTCAACATTCTCCCTTTCGATATGGCATACCTCAGCAGAACCTCCTACATTCGTTTGGTGTTCAGGCTGTCATTGATCCCCTAGTGACTTGATGCCTGATCCAGCCGGTTAGGCTGCGTCCCTTTTTCATCAAAGGCCCAGATTCCGTCCGTCTGAGTGCAGCTTTCAGCCCAGGCTGGGGTATCTTTTGGCCTATTTGTCAATTTTCGCCCAACCGGGCCTTCGTTGAAGCCGGCCCTCTGTCGATTTGTGCCTACGCAACCGTATCCTCCGAATCGGCATTCAGTCTGTTTCTTCCCATTGACCAACCTCTGGAAGGGAGGCTGTCAATGTTCATATGTACCGGCTGCCAGATACCCTCGTTCCAGGCTCCAGATTTCTTTGCCCGTCACTTGTATCGGTTAGCAGACGTATTGCCGGCCAGACTTACGGTCCATGGAGTGTCTCTAAGCCTCTGCTGGGCAGGCAAGTTTATGCCCATGCCGGCCGTCTGTGCGCAAGTAGGCCAAATCGTGTTGCTGGCGCTTCCGAAGGCCGAACTAGTCGCGATCTGCGTCTGGATGGGATGGCCTCTCGACAAATGAATGGCCTCTCGACTGGTCAACACACACATACACAAGCACACATAAACCTAGGTGGACACACGTATGTACCGAAATCCGACAGGCTGATCCGGAATCTGCAGAGATCTGTATCCCATCGAGTCGGAGCATTTTAACTTTCTGGTCAGTCTGGCCCGTATCAATGATGGCGTCAGGCGGAAGCCATCCGCCTCGGAACCGACCCTGCACTAAGGGTCGCCGAGACCTCTTCTGGTCGTCGGAGTTAGCAGCAATCTCCGTCATACTCTTCTTGATCTTGGACACGGCATCCAGAGCTGATGGTAAGTCTTTAGGCTGCAGATTACTCTACAACAGGTCCTAGGTAAGACTCGATGAGAAGTCTGAGAGAAATCTTATTTTATTTAACTTCATACTACAGTACTCTACAACTACCCACTTCTGAGGTGAAGATGAGGTCATTTTATTTGTAGATGAGGCAAAGCTGAGTTCCAAAGAAGTCTTAAAGCAAAATGGTGCACCAAAATACTAAACTTATCACTAGTACTTGGTACGTAGTATGCTAAACTAGGTATATTGGTGCGCTATTTCGTAAAGTTTGGTTTCTTGAACTGAGGTCTGTTAAATGACATACAAAGACTCGGTGTGTGTTCATCAGGGTCACAGGACGATAAGCCGGGAACTTGGTTCGTAAACTTAAAACGTCTTTACTCCACGACGATCCTCGTTCCTTTTATATACGAAGAAGATGCGGGTTTCTAAGGAGGTAATTAAGTTAAATATATCGAAGGTATAAAGACCAAGATGGTGTGGCCTTTTGTGTGGTCGCAGTCTCCTTTCGTTGTATAGAGG